GGCCATCTGCTGCGACCGGTTGGGGTGAGAGAAGGAAGACAGGATAAAAGACATGACAAGCCATTTCCATCAAACTATGTGATATCACTGTCGCCAACTCAGAAGGTCCTATGTTTGGTTCCTGCTTTCCGAAACCTGACACCTAACTCATTATTCGGTCCATATCAGAACAGATATTCAGCATGATTTTTTTTTACCCCACTGAGATCTCAATTGTTTTCCAAGTCTTCCATTAATTGTTTTTGAACTGTATTTATTTATTTATTCCACTCTAAGAACCACTTGTTGTTAATTCTTATAATAATCGAGTGCTCGAATGCAAATGTTTCTCAATAATACCACTGAAGGAAGCTGCGCAGTGAAGTTAAAGCAGCACAAACTTGGGAATGTGTTGGTGATGCATTAAAGTATATCTTATAGATCCTAGTTAGTCGGTTCTACACTGCTGGACCTGCAGCTAACACAGTTTGGAAAATTGGGCCACTGTCATGATACTCATCATGTATCGCCAGGCTTTTAGGTTTGCTACTTTGTATCAACACTGGTCAAAAAATCCACTGAAACATATTTATTACCTCAAAATAAAAAAAATGAAAATATATATTACCTTTTCTATATTTGATTTGAAACACAGAGCTCTCTGTGACACAATTTGCCGAAAAATCAATCGCCACATAGATCCTGTCAAAGCCTTCATTAATGTGAGCGCACACATGGAGGAGCAAGACACACTTTTTTGTGTTAGCTGTGTCCAGCTTGTTTCAAAGTATTCATTAGCTGCACCTCTGAATACAACAGCTTGAACCTCTCTGATGATCCGTCTGCGCTAACCATCTTCTTGCGCCTCTCTTCTTATTTATAGCACACATTCAGCCACCTCACCGCTCTAAAATATGTCACAACCCTCCTTCAAACCATTTAAAAACAGTCATATCCTTTGGCTGTGACATATGTTTGGCGCAGCTTTGTTATTCACGTCCTCACCTCGGGCTTGCTATTGTTAGACAAGCGTGTGAAAAAATACGGCTAGAGTAATCTAAAAGTTTCCAGTTGGACATCAGAACCCAGGATAAACTAAGGAAGGAGATTGCACAAGCAGAAAAACCTAAGAGATAGCAGAGCAGGAAACAGCACAAAGCAATAACAGACCTGCCAGGCTTTCCTCACAGATTATACGACAACAAGTCACACAGAGAACGCATTCAAGTTTGCTTTAGATTGCTCTTTGTTTACACCACCACAGCCACCAATGAGCACTAGTGCAAAAAGGTAGTATGTCAATGCTTCAAGTAACTTCTAGTCAGACAAGTCCTGGTAAGACGCATAAGCTACGTGGTTTATAAGAATCTATCTGCTCAGATGGTGATTTATTCTGGTCAAAGTCACACCTCAGGTTTAGTGTGATGAGCAGCAGTAGCAGCAGTCCGATAATAAACAGATGTAAGATGTTGCAAGAAACATGAAGAATGGGAGATTACACTGATAGAAAGCAGTGAGGTAAGACGGCAACATCCCAAGAGACCCGCAAAGGCTGTAATCAGTGAAATGATAAAAGATCAGAGCATAAGCAAAATAATTAGTGTTGTCTGATCCTGATTTTCCAGCCCTTTTCCTCTGCTTTGAGCTTGCACTGTTTATTTACTTAAAGCCCTTCTTTGGCCTCTTTATTATCCCCAGTTACCCAATAAATCTGAAGACATCAATGGGACAGCTATACGTGGTATGTAGAACTAGAGGTGACCTTTCTGCTTAATGTAGCAGAAACGTATAAGCCTTTATGCTACAGTAGAAATGTCACTACTTCAGATCTTGGTTGTTTTTTGTATGATCTCGACATTACAGATGAAATAGTTACTTCACAGCCTTTGCTCTCATGCTCAGTAAGAGCAGCGTAAACAAACATCAAAGTTTGATCGCCCTGATTACGCCGCTTGCTAGTGATTGCATAGCTGAAGTATTTTTTTCTTGGCTGAGACGAGAGCGTTGGCTCTCTTATCGCCACCTGACTGCAGCGGGGTGGACAGATAGACAGACGGAGGTGGTCTTCCTGTGTGTTTTCAAGCAGGATTTCCTTCAGCCTGTCCTCCTGCTGGCCCCATGGCCTCTAGCTTAACCCGAGGACATGGTGACCTGCCAACGTTCTGTCACTGCGCACGGGAGTTTTATACCATAGAGGGTGTTTTTAGCATTTAGAAAAAACATTTGTCATAATATAAGTGTGTAATTTTACTTTTTAATAATCTTTAGCTATTATTTCTGTTATCTAAGGACAAAAGCTATACATGTGACTTCAAACTGATTACACAAAAAAACCCATGAAGCATCTATATTTATATTAAATCTATTAGTGCTTAAATTCTTTAATTTTATACTTTATCAGGTACCTGGCTGATTTGAACCCAACAGCACAGACAGAACTATTGCTGGATATTGATCAGGTCTTCAAAGCTGCAGACAGCTTTGTCGAGCCCTGACAACAGGATGTGTTAAGAGCAACAACGTGACGCAGTATTTAAAGACAATGTGTTTTAAGCGGACGGCGCAGGTCAAATCAGTGTTTCCTCTACTTAAAAATC